GTGTGTTCCCGGGCGGGGTAAGCCCGCCGTTCAACCAACCTCTGAGAGCTGAACGTCAGCGCAGGGTCACCCATCCTCTGTCGCAAGGGCATCAGGCTCTGAGCTGCAGAAGGAGGAGGAGCTGGAGTTAGACATAGTTGGTTGATTTGAAAGGCAGAAGCCAAGGTTCAGCTTACAAACAGAAGCAGATACTTTTAAAAACTGAACTGTCACATGTGCAAAAGACAACAAACAGAGCAGCGTGTCTGCAAGAGAATAAAAGTGCAAGAGGGAAATTTTATTTTGCAATTAGTTTTAGCTGCCACAACAAAATGATGGCGAGCATCAGTCTGCACCACAGAGAGGTTTTTTCAGAAACTTTTTTCTGCATTTTGCAGAAATTTCCCTTTGCCTGCAGTGAAATATCCTTAAATTAAGGTTTTCTTTTCTCATTTATTGACTGCTTTTGGACTTGTTTACTACAATAACTCTTTTTAAAAAATAGCATACATTTCTTTGTGAAATGGGTCTGTGGTGTGTTTTACCGACTCACCACTGCTGCACACTTGTAAGTGGGTGTTAGTGGAGGCAAGAGGGAGAAGCAGCTAAACTGTTGCTAAAACACTGTTAAATGTTCCAGGTCTTCAGAGAGTGAAAATGTGAGGAGGAGAAGCACAGGAAGCGTGAACTCTTCAGGAAAACATCTGGCAGCTGTGGAAGAGGGAGGAAGGTGGAAGAAGAGGAGGGTGCGCCGTACAGGTGAGGAGGCGTTCACATGGACACCTGTGTCCGTCAACCTCAGACGTCTGCGTTTCTGGAGACGTTTACAAATTAGTTATATGGACTAATGCAACAGAGAAACACTTCCAACACAGTTTATTTAAAACTGTAAATATCTTTAACCGTATTTAATCAGACGAGGACAGCTGAGGCAAAACTCAGTAACTGTCCTGATTAGCTTGTCAGCAGCTATGTTGGCTTCATAGCATGATAAACCATTTTCATGGTAGCCCTGCCCGCTGACATGTTAGCTTCTCCTTAGGGTTGCAAGTTATGGTCACACCCGCTCATGTGACAAGCAAGGAGTATGAGTCTGGGTCAGTTCTTTGCCCAAAAATGTAATTTTAGCTTTAAAGCAATGCTATGTTAGCTGAGTCGCTAACACACTCAGCAAACCTGCAGATAACAAGATAACATTAATACATGCTCTTCTGATGGGCTTTAACTTTTTTAAATCAAATGTCATTATTTTATCATAGAATCCCTATAAATTTTAACATCATCTCTGCTCTTGACATATGAGGTTGTGATGTTTCCACGAATGTTCAAACACACTGGACATTCATCTGCACATTGACGTGACACAAATGCTGCTGTGAACTGCCCCGTCCTTTGGTTCATACCTCTGTCACAGGCCGGGCTCCTGCCTTCAGCCACTTGGACAGCAACTAAAACATTGTCATTTTTCTTTTTTAAGTTCTTAGGTTAAAGGGGAAAATGCTAAATTGGTAGTCTGCACTGAGTGGCCTATTGAAAAATAACGTAAAAATACTATGACACATTTGTTAGCACTTGGTCCTAGTGAACCACATACTGGATCAACCCTGGAATCAAACAGGAGAAAACTGCGCACTTTTTATCTTAAATGGCTCAAACTGTCCATCAGTCTACACTCAGCAGCCCTAATTGAAAACATGACTTTTATAAACTATTGCTAATGCATTAGAATCCAAAAACTGCCATCTTTCATTTACAAAAGTATTCAGGACCTTAATTCAGTACTTTGTAGCAGCACCTTCAGCAGCAGTTGCAGCGTTCCCCCACAACATTTCTAAAAACACTGACTGTAAATTAACTAAACCTAGCTGGATCTTCGCTCAGTTCAGACTAATTTAAAAAAAAGTATTTAATTTACTGTTTTGCAAAATTGCTTCCTTATGAAACATTTAATATAAATGTGACAAAGTGGGTGAGAGCACTCCACTTGTCCCTAAGATACAGTGAGGAACAGAAGTATTTGAACACCCTGCGATTTTGCAAGTTCTCCCACTTAGAAATCATGGAGGGGTCTGAAATTCACATTGTAGGTGCATTCCCACTCAGAGACAGAATTAAAAAAAA